CACACACACACACACACTATATATATATATATATATATATATATACTTGTAAAGTTTTATGATATGTTAATTGAAATCTATGCCTAGAAGCAGATTCCACACAGAATGCTGCATGATATTTGATATTTATTCTTAATTCTGACTGTTCTCATGTTCTGCAACCATAATGTAACCTTTAAAAGCACTTAAAAACCAAAATACTTGCATTCTGGACTAGGGAAGATATCCTAGTGGAGGGAAACTCTTGATGTGGGATTCTGTCAATGTACATACTTGGATCTCAGGTAACACTAAACAGATTCTGAAATATACCAATGTGCCAAAATTTATAGATTAAATCAAAATTTCAAGTTTGTTGGTTCAGAAACTATGTTGAGCTCACTGAGGTGAATTTTGTCTTCAGGACTATCCTGCACTAGTAGATGTATGCTAATTGAAATGGTTTCTTTTGTGGAGCATGTGCAATGGTCTTGTGCATAACAGTCATAGTGGGGGCTGCTTTTGAACATATTAAATCATCATTCTTGTATCCATGTGAAAAAGGAGCTTTTTTTCATTTGTAAATAAATTGTAGGGCGGTGGAAATAGGAACTTAATTGTGCATCTTACCACTTAGGTGTTTGCTTCCAGTCAATTTAACCCTCTAAAGAACAGCTTGCCAGTTTAGGCAGTAGCAGCTGGGTTCCTATTTCAAATAGTAAAAAGCTGACATATACTTTTTGGGAGTGTTAATTCAGTTGTCTTGAGTAGCAGAACTTTTAAAAGAGATTGCCATCAATTACCAGATATTTTTCGTTCGTTCATGGTCATTTTATTCGTCAGATCCTTCATTCTTCTTATTGCAGGCTGAACCCAAGCGGCGGAAGAGGTAGTTGCTGATGCTGTAGATTTGGCCTCTGAGGATATATGCGTTTTATAAGAGATAACCAGTCTTGTTGGTAAGATGAAATTGTACAGTGCAGAGAACAGACTGCTTGAAGAGAAAACCATTGTCATGTTTATGAACTTATGAATGTTTATAGTACTGCTCTTCTCACCCTTTTAATTATGTTCTACTTGTAATAAAGCAGCAAATGAAAAGAAAAATAAGTGTGCCGATATATGGCAAATTTAACTGACTATAAACCATTTACCATACTTTTGAAAGTGAAGTATTATCTAACTTGATAAGGACTTTGACCTTTGATAGCAAAGTCTAAAGGATCAAATCGCATTCAATAAGAAAGTGAAGTATGGTTTTTTTATTGCTGTTGTACCCAATTAAAGGACAAATGGATAAGGATAATCTTCAATTTTTTTATCATTATCATTCCATCTAGAGGCTTAACATATAGCATTAATTATATAATTAATGCTTGACATGTGACATTAAAAACAGAGTAAAGATTTTGCAAGCCTCAGAAACTACTACAAAATCTAATGTCCATCTTTTTTTATTTTTAACTTCACTCTATTTTTATTGCACAATATATTTCCAAAATGATACAACCACAACAAACCGGAAGGATCAGCTACTTTTCACGCTGGTGGCCCCTTTCGCTAATTAGTCTTCTCATCCGTAGTGTGTAGCCAATGTACATGGCATCTTCTATGTCAAAACTTCCTTAAAATCTGACATTATCCGAAGAAATGATGCAACTAAACAAAATGTCGTATCCGATTGTAATCTATGTACAGTGTGAAGCAATCTAACATCTGTTGTTGTTTATGCTCCCCGTTCCTGATTCTGTCTCACTGTTCTCCGGACGTGGGAGTTCCGATACAAGTTGTTGCCATCCCTGTGCAGGGTGATCTCAGAATGAATGACCGAGTTCGGGAACCTTTGTTTGTGTCTTTCATCCCGATTGTGATGGTTCTTCTCTTCCGTCTCCATTTCCATCTTCTTCTCCTCCATCTCCTGCAACTTCTCCTTCTTCTCACTGATTCTCTCCGTTGGCGCAACGTACACGAAGGGACCAACGGGCACGTCATTCAAGCTCAGGAGTGGCTCCAAGCTCTCGACGACGCTCCTCATGTCAGGCCTCGACTTTGGAGCCTGGCTCAGGCATTTGTGAGCGATTGCGGCTGCCCTCTGAGCACCCTTGGTGGAATAGAGTCCGTCAAGGCTGGGATCCATGACGCGGCTTAGCTTGTCGGCGTTGTTCAGGTAAGGTCGCGCCCAGTCGACGAGGTTCTTTTGCCTGTTGGGGCGGTTCTTATCGACGCATCGTCTCCCTGTCAGCAGCTCCAGCAACACGACTCCGAAGCTGTAGACGTCGCTTTTGGCTGTAAGGTGGCCTGTGCAGGGGATCGATGGACTGTTACTCAACTATCAGCCACAGTAATCTTCTACCTCGAAACCACGAATCAGATACGAGTTCTCACCGGTCAATACGTACTCCGGTGCCGCATAGCCATGCGTGCCCATCACACGCGTGGTGACATGCGTGTTGTCTCCTTGAGGTCCGTCCTTGGCAAGCCCGAAGTCAGAAAGCTTCGCCGTGTAATCCTGTGATACCAAGTCATCGTCGTGGGATGAGGTAAGTTTGCATTGATGCGGGCAAAAAGACTTTTTTGTTTTAACTCGTTCAAAGTCAAAGAAATTTACCGATTCGAGCAGTATGTTGGATGCTTTGAAATCGCGGTAGATCACCGGCTTCTCAGCCTCGTGAAGAAAGGCGAGCCCCTTGGCGGCGCCCACTGCGATCTTCAACCTCGTTGACCACGGCAATGAGGCAAGAAGGCCTGTGCAACGTAAAGGAGATAAAGCTTAAACCTTCATACGATTTACACCTAAACTGTGTGTACATGTTGGATGAACAGAATGACAAAGTTGGCGACCAGATGAGAATGGAATGTAGTTTGATGTGATAGTCCAACCTTGCTTGAAAACAATGTGTTTTGGCTTTCCTTAGTTTTACGTTTATGTAGTGGTTGTGAGCTGTCCACTTTGTCTTTGACATCCATAAACACAAAAAAGCAAAAAAAAGGTTGATTTGACCTCACTCTCTGATCGATTCATATGATTGACCCAAAAGGAAAGTGGAACGATTCAATTCATAAGAAAGTTATGAAGGATCTCAATAATTCATCTTCTTAACCAAAAAACAAAGATAAAAAGATTGATGTTTGAGATCTAAAGAGGAAATTCCATGGATCATACAAATCAAATTAGACTTACTCTTGAAAATATGGCTTTCCAAGCTTCCTCCAGGCATAAACTCGTAGACGAGCATCCTGTGTTCATCTTCACAGCAGTATCCAACGAGTTTAACGAGGTTGGGGTGCCGCAGTTGCCCGAGGAAGATGACCTCCGCCTGGAATCACACACACACACACGCAGAGCAAGGGGATCAGGAAACAGAGGAATCCAATCCAAGCTTCATTAACAAGGGTGATCGTGTTAGTACTCACCAGCCACTCTCTGTGGCCCTGCGATCCATCCAAGTCCAGGGACTTCACCGCCACATACTGCGCCTTGAGCCCCGGCCGCAGCTTCTCATCAATGTATCCCTTGTAGACAGGGCCAAATCCACCCGATCCAACGAAGTTCGTCATGGAGAAGTTCCTGGTGACAGCTTTCAGCTCCGCAATTGTGAACGCAAACAGGTTGGATCCTGCCAGAGTCAACGACAGGTCCTCCGGGGAGAACGGTGCGCGGAAGGAGTCGCTTATGCCGGAATTCGAGCTGCTTCGGAGCTCCCTGCGCCTCGCTGAAGAGCTCTTCACACTCTTCCCCCAGCAGCTCATCAAGAAAGATATCCATGGACTCTTGGCCATCTTGGAGAAGGCTCGCAGCTGAGGAGAACCAAGAGGTAGAATCACAGCGAGGAGGAGGAGGAGGAGGAGAGGACATGGAAGCACGACTCAGCAATCTGATCTCATTCATATAGTGCTGCTGGTTTCCTGGAAATGACTCAAGTGTCCCTTGACTTGGACCAATGACACAGCAAATCTGTGGGAGATCCAAACCCAGGGAATGGTTGTGGTTTGAGGGGCATTCCCCACTTTTCTCTACCGAGACACGAGATAAGTATCATGTAAGCCTCTCCAGAAGCTGACACAGCACCTGCGAGGAACCTTCATTCGATTTCCTTTGATTTCGGGATGTTAGTGGCCCATCATAAACAAAGCTTTGGTGGCTTATTCTCGAGCATCCTCTTGCTAAGTCAGATCCTTTCGGTTGGTCCTCCTTTTCCATCAAAATGGTTGTCTTGGCAGCTGGTTCTCATCAACACACATGATTGGTAGTATATGTGTTTGAGCTCCCAACGATCTGCTTCGAACACAGACCACACAGCAAGTTTACTTCCATTTTTGTACCCCTACAGAGAAGCATTGCAGGATGCACGTCGGTAAGTTCTGCCGTTTGGTGGATACCCATATCGACTGGTTTCTCTTAAAGAATGAAAGTAGTGTCTGCTTAAGGCCAATTGTTTGCCGGAGTACGTCATCTAATTCTCTCTAGAGTGATCATTTATAATGGCCAATGTCAGACAGAAATAAGAGAGAGAGAGAGAGAGAGAAATCAGATGACTTGCAGAAGATTCAAGTCTCTTCATTTATTGATTAATGAACGAAGGTCTACTTTCTTTCTTGCAGGAGATGAAAGCCTTGACTTGCCATGATTCCAGAAGCATCACTGTTTTTTGTTCCTTTGTGTTGCACCTTTGTGTTGTGGTTGATGACGATGAAATAGTAGGGAATATTTTTGACTAGTATTCCATAATAAAGTCTTATTTATGCAAGTAGGATAGTTTGGATCGTCACCTCAGCCTCAAGGAAGTATTCACGCTTATTCACACTAAGGAAATATCATTCTTAAATGCCACATCTAAATTGATCGAAAATATGAGATGCATGAATATAATATATTACATGATGTGAGTTGGTGGTGGTGTGTCTCTTCTGCAACATTCTTTGAATGATCCTCTCGATCAAACGGATGAGATTGTCTTCGAGAAACATGTGGCGCACAGCAGCACAACTCCGACACTCGTTTCGTGGGTACGTAACGAGTCCATCGTGCTCATCTGTCTCGTAAAAGTTGGATCGTCCCGAAGGAACGCAAACACAGCGACGTCAAATGTTTGATGATTCACTGTGAATCGACAGCATCAAATTGGGAATAGGTGGGCTGTCCTTTCAGCAACGTTAGTTGAGGCTTCTTTCTCTTCATTATTTCTTGAGATCGTCGGAAAAGGATGCGTGCATTAAAATACAATCATGCATTGGTTTAGGTTCAGGTCACCTTTCTATGCAAACACAAAGAAAGAGAATGTTGATTGCAAAGTTCAACCAAACATATTGTGGTTTGATTTTTCTTTTCAAAAATAAAATTATTTACTCGTAAGTTTGAGTGCAAAGCATCTCATCTTATCCTAAAAGCTTACATAAATCAATATCAAAATCTTACTTTTTGAAAGACATTACAAAATATCTCTATTATCGTCTCCTATTCATAATAATTGAGAATAAGTCATCCTCTTTATTTTTTTAGAGATAGACATTTTAAATCGTAATACAATAAATTCAATAATATGGGTTTGAAATGAACCTAAATCAACATCATAATATTGTAGTAGATAAATGGAGACAAGTCAAGACAACAAATATATAATATTTTGATACATCTTATCCATCTCTAATAATAATTTTATAATAGTCTTTGATAACTATTAGATAATTGATTCGAATTTATGTAAATATTTTTTACATGATATTTACATTTCGATATAAATGAATCCAATCCATTTTTCGTACCAAAATTCATCACACAAATAATATAATCTAAATTACGATTTACAAATCAAGCTCTTATCTCGTACGACATGAGGAACAAAGTTGTCAGCTTGTGGGTTGGTCACGAATCTACTCAAAATCAAATCAAATCAAAGTTTCTACGGTCCGATTCTGCCACCCAACCGGTGCCCAATCACCGCCACCACAGCCCAAAGAACTTCCGGTGCCGATAGCAACTCCACTGACGTGAACACGCTGAATAGGAGGAGAACACGAGAATCGACGCGTCGTTGCATGAGTCGTAAGGACGAGAACGGCGTTTTGCACGACGCAGCACGGCGTCGTCAACAACAGAGAACAGTCGCATTCTTCTCCCTTCTTCCCCTTCCGAGAAAACTCTCCAAACCTCGTGTGAGCGCAGAGCCCATTCAGATCAAACCGACCGCGTGATCTCATTCGACTCCCTGTCGCCTTTGCTCTGCGTGGATTCCACACTCCTCCACGCCCACCCCACCCACCTCTCGTCGAGTAAGTCGGACCTCACCTACTCTCTCTACTGCTTGCAGAACGATCCGTGGATCGAAATGGATGTGAATCGGCGATATTCGGGTTGACTGACCGCCTAGTTGGCATGTTTCTTTAAAACCTCCGTTGACTATCTCCATCAATCCAGAAGGAAGCTTTGTGGTTAGTTCAGATAACAAAGAACAACAACGAGAGATGACTTTAGCAGCATAGCTGGTCAAAACTGCTGCTCGAATCAGCTTCAAATTGTTTGCTGATGCATCAAATAGTTTAGAGATTTCGGTAGAAGATTTGTTCCCGGGGAAGGATAGGATAAAAGCGTCCACTGCTTTTGACTTCTCACACCTGCTTGGGTCTGAAGAAAAGTCAGCGGCCCCTAGTCATGGGAACCCAAAAAAGTCTGCTGTTCATGTTGGAAACACCACGATCTTTCCCAGACTTGCGTGGCTTTCCGCGTGTCGAACGTTCAGGACGTGTACACAAGGAAGGAAGAGATTGAAGTGGAAAGTGGATGAGTCCTAAATTATGATTGGTGTGCTCTTCATCTTAATCTTTAGGATATTTATGTGGATAAGTCCCCTTTTTACAGCTTAACCGGCAAACAACCCTTTGGTGCTCCCTTCTTATGACTTAGCCGATCCATCTTTGATGTATAGTATATTGTTTGCATTAGTTGGATAAACACTTATATTATGCATACAAAGGAATCCTTAAGTAGGGATTATTGTAGTAATTATGACTCTCTTCCAATCGATTAATTTATTAGAGTTATATCAAGAAAATACAAAATTACAAATAATTTAAAGAAATTTAGAATCAATTTATTTGGATCAAAATCTTCAATAGGCTAAATATAGCTGATTCAAACTTAATCTTACACTAAGGTTTGTCAAACGGGTCGGGTTTGTCTCACTCGCAAATTGGATCCGATCCATTTAAGAGGGTTCACGAATCACGTCCTCAAACGCTTCACCCGACATGAGGCGGAAAGTCCATATGATCCTCGCGATGTTCCTGCGGGACATATGAACCAAACCCTCCGGTTCTCCTCTTCCTCCTTATCCCCCCTCCCACTCGCCTCCCTCCGCCGTATAAACGGCGGTTGGCTCTTGTATCCATGACTCCTCGCTAACCTCTCCACCGCTCCTCCGCCGCCGCAGCTAGTCTCCTCACCATGCGGGCCTCCTCCTCCCTCGTACTCTCCTCCTCTCCCTCTCTCAGCTTTTCTGTTTCTGTAGTTGAATCCAATCGTGTAATCCGTCGAGTTGTTGTATGCAGGTTTCGCCTCCCAGGATTGGGCTTCACTGTCGAAATTCTCCTCTTCTTCGGCCTGTTCTGTTCGTGCGACCTTTCTGCACCGAACTCGCCGAAGGTTGTCTTGGCTCCGGCTCGAAACGGAGAGCTCGCGGACCCGTGATGGCAGCGAAGAAGGCTTCCGAGGGTAATTTACTTTTTCTTTCGAGGTTGCCTTGCTCGAAATCTTTTACGTGTTGCAAAAAAATGCGATCTTGATCGGTCTTGGCTTTTTACACATTTTAAAAAGAAATATTACTTGTGAATTGTGATGATATTGGATATTCTACTTTCATCGTTGTGGTAATATTGTGTCAGCCAACTGCTTGAAAGATGTGAATTTTAACTGGATATATTGCTTTCTTATGTATAATTTTGTCATGAATGCTGGTTTTGGAAAGGTGCGAAGCAAGAGGGGAAGTATAAGCACACAGTGGATTTGCCCAAGACAACTTTTGGCCTGAGGGCAAATGCAGTGGTACGAGAACCTGAGATCCAGAAGCTGTGGGAGGACAACCAGGTATTTAAGCGAGTGGCGGATAGGAATACTGGGGTAAGTTCTGTTGGATTAACTCTTTTGCATTGTTGCTCTTTTTTTTTTTATTGTGGTTTTGGGAAATGATCTAAAATCAAACCAAGTTGTTGATGCATGGCTGCCTGACAGGGGAGTTTCGTTCTTCATGATGGCCCACCTTATGCAAACGGAAGTCTCCACATGGGCCATGCTTTAAATAAGATTCTGAAGGATATTATCAACCGTTACAAGGTAATTTTGTCAGCCTCAGTTTCTTGTGATTTGTGGCTTTCCATTTGTGAGTTGTTATATGGTTCTAGCATATTATTGTGTTTTCAAATATAATCTGTCACAAATAATATGATAAAGGCTGCACGTTCGGCACTTTATCCTAAGGAGCTTGTTTAATTAAGTTGGATAATCTGAATTTGTAAAAGAATCAGGAGACCAGAACCTAACTAAAAACTATTATCATGGATAATTAGGTTAAAGCAATTTACTTGCTGTTCCCAAACATGCGAAACCAAGTATAGATAGTTTGGTTACAGGTGGTTTTGTTGGTACCTTAATAAGTCACATTCAAGCTTGCAAAAAATGCATTTGCAAATGCAACACAGCCCCAATCGACAAGTGATGAAAATATAAATGCATTTGAAAATGCTGTGGGCATGTTTAGTTGTCTGCAGCTGAGACTGTAAATGCCCAATTACGCACAATGACTGGAAGACAATTGTTTGGGTGATTGTAAATGGATGTTGCATAAAAAAACCAGTTACAAATGCTTGCATTTG